TTACAAAGTATAAGCCCAGGTCATGATTGTTTCCTTCACCGTTTGTCAGTGGTTTCGAGATATCTTAGAAAGTACATATAACTCGGAAAAAGTCACATTGGTACTTGCCGTTGGTAGGTTTCGAATCCGCGCCCTCATGTATATCACCGTTTTTTAAACTTCGTTGAATTAAAGATTATTGTTTTTCACAATAAAAACCATTAAATTAAATAAATAGGTACCAAACTGGTCATGTATTTACACGTGTCGTCACCAATAGTAGCGTGTGAACTGTGAGTATCGCTGGTATATGAGAAGCAATTTCCCGACAGAGGTAACAAAGTAAGCGAGTGACCGACCGCCATATATCGCGCGGAATGGCAGACTAATGTGGATTCCATGTTGAATTGCTTCGTAGTTAATGAATATTATTATAGAAATATAAATAAATCATAAAGATTAAAGTTTAGAACAAAAATACAACAATCAATAAAAATTGGTTTAAACAACAAATAATTATCTATTAAAATAATGTTAACAGTTTGATCTAATCTAAAACTAAAACATGACTCAATTTTTTCTTGTCATCAAAAATGGCCTTGTCGTTTAAAATAAATTATTACTATCAAATCAAAATTTACTTTAATATTCAATCACGAAAAACTGTAGTAAAATTAGACAATCTTTAGTGTAAGTTTAAAACAACAAACTTCTATGAAAATGACTCCAAACTTTTACAATCAGTTTATGAGCCTTATCCTCACAATGCTGTTGTCCAGTTGGCCAGTAATTGCCGCTATCAGAGTGCGGGCCACGGCGCCATAAAAGGTGAAGTGAGGTGGGCAACCGATCGACTGAGCTCTTCGACTATATTGATACCCAAACTATATTTCTAGATGTAGAATTTAACTACTCCAGTGGTTGATAGAACATTGTTGGGGAGTGTAGAGAGGTTGTGATGGCTTTTCTTTAGAGTCTTCTTATTGTGGCTATTAATTACGTTTGATCCGGTAGATTCTAGCCATGGTGATCGCTTCAGTTCTTTGCTCTTAGTATATAGCTATGTAGAAAATCTTGAATCGTCATGAAAATGAAATAAAACTTTGGTACCTCTAGCGTTTGGCATGTCCTGTTTTATTATATGAGCTGTAACAGAACTGGAACTGAAAGTACATACCCTGTCAATCCCATGTACGATAGTATATTATCTAACGAAACTTTAAATAACACAATTTATAAACCTGTGAACCCCGAACTGAAATAGCGAGCCACTCAACGCCCAAACCACTACAATTTCTATAGTCTTTAAATCGCAGTACATTTCCCCTTGGTAGGGCACCGGGCGGTCAGAAAGTAAAAGGCGGACAAAGTGAACGTGTGGCCCATTAGTGGAAGAAAAACGGTTGTCCCTTCCTTAGGTAGCACCCTACCTTTATAAGAGCGGTCGTGTGCCGGTTAACCGGACGATTTGTGGACCCAATTGACTATCAATGAATAGTAGCCACTACTTACCTCCGTACCGTTTTATGGACTGCTATTAGGGTTGATGTGGTCAACGTGGGGCCGAGCCGCTCGTCATTGAGACGAATTCATTTTGTTAATGAAGAAAACAGCAGCTCTGTGAGTAATGGTGTAGATCATTAAAACAGTACTGTAAAATACAGTGTTCTCAAGTTGTAACATTACGCGACGTAATTTATTGTTCAGTCAAGCAAGCAGTTCTAAAATTTGTGTGATCGCTAAAGTTAAATAAAAAATCCTGTGAACGTGAACCTAATTGTGGAAATCCTTTCTCACAGTATACAATACCAATTACAAGCGAAGCATTCAACTCAATAATATGATTTCATTTCCCAAAAGGACGAGTAAATAAAAATGTGTAATTTAAGTTGAGCAGGTTAAAGTATTGAAGACGGAGTGTTTCCCTCGAGTGCCGTGCTCGGTGAGTGCTCCACTTAATAATATTTTTCACCTTGTTTCGTTTTCCAATTTTCCGCAAGTCACTCTCCGGGGTAACGGGCCGTGTTTTGATTTAGAAATGCTTCACCAGAATGTGCTTTATACGAAGCGGCGACGATACGACTGCGGCGTGCCGTGTCACATGGTTTCTGTTCTAAGATTATTTATTTTTATTGAGAATTAAGTTACTGTTTGTATTGTTTTATTATGTTCGTCAACTTTTATTTAGTGTCTGATTGGGTACTGACTTTATGGTTCTTGAACGCCTATGTTGCTTATTAAAAATAGCAATAAATTGTTGCCACATCCATCAACACAAATTATAATGTAGAAAATAATCGTGTCGTGTAAATGTTGTTTTAAAACTTGTTTACTTTTGTTGATGTTTGTTACTTTTATTTAGTTATACAAATACAATATTATTTTATTCTTTACACCAAGGCATAATAATGCGTTTAAATTAAACATTGATAAGCACCAGAATCTTTAGTAACTCAAGATAAAACACACTTATTTTGCAGCTGTTTTAAACTTAAGCTTATCTTTTAGCTGTTCCATCTGTATGTAGTATCTAATGAATTTCTTTGATCAACTAGTCTTCATCATGATAAGGATAAATTATGTTCTATCTCATAATACAAAAGACTTCGTAAGATATAATTCTACTAAGAGCTTCTCACGTGTACCTACATACATATTATTGTTATAGTTATAGATATGTGATATTGCTTAGATATCATTTCATATATGCCACCCTGTCCTGTCTTCCTGCTTGACCCCACTTGTTCCAATCTAATTTCGTCCCTTTCACAACTTTGGGCCAATGTTTGTGCACAATCGCCAAGTGTTTAGCTTTATGTGACCTGCTTGTTTTACACCTTTCCAAAAAGGCAACATAGTTCAAAAAATTGTAGAATTATAAGTTGGGTGATTCAAATGACATTACCAATATGTTATGGGACGATCTTATGGTAATTGTATTGTGATTCACTTTGTATTATGCCACTAGAATTTTCCTGGTAAATGGTGGGAATTTGCTGATAGTGTGGTGATGGAAGTTAAAACCTCCTTGGATATTGTCAGATGCGGTATCTTAGCAACCTTCTACACTTCAGTATAAGAACGACGACTTCTTAGTCGCTTAATTCTTTATCCTCATGTGTTTCAACTCCCAATATTGGCTCCAACGTTGGCTGTCCATAATAACTTTTATGTCACACAACACGAGCGCCGGGCGAAGACGCAGGTAACTGATGGAAAATCTAATTTGGTAAATTGAATTACTCTGTCCAACGAATGAGGGAGATATGTAATATTACGGTCCCTTAGCTCTTTGTTGTCTCAAATTATTGTAAAAGATATGATGGATGCATTGTTACTGCGTAGGTTTTTATCTGGCAAATGTATGAGTTTTTCATTTTTTTTTTCAATGTCATGTTGTATTTACTGTTGTTGTCTTAGTTTAAGTATAAAATTAAATATTCATTGTAGTATTGTAACCACAAATGCTGAAGTTTTCTAGGTTACAATATAAAATCAAAGTCAAAGCATTTATTTCACTTTGAAAACGTCAAAAATTTAATTTAATTGTCCGTCCGTCTGTCCGTCTGTAAAGCTAAGCGCTTGTTCCAAAGTGTATTTTCGAATAGAGAAGAACGAGAAAGAAATTCCAGTGTTACTCTTTAAAAAAAAATGTATGTGGCGGGAACTAAATTAGTGATGAAAATCACTTCATCAACTTCTTATATAAGTATTTTAGTCACAAGGCCCCAAACTCCAATAACCAAATCACAAGCAGAGTACAAGATAACAAATTATACTGTACCTCCTTCTCCCACATGTATCGGCTCCTCGGTCCCACGTAGGAACCGGGTACAGGGGTACGAAACATTTAAAAGTAAGAGATGCCACGTGAGTTGTTAGCAATTTATATGCAAATTAGCCGCGGTCCACAGGGCGGACTCCTGACAGACTGTTCTGAAGGGATACGGGATGAAACCTGGTAATTGAACCTTATATACTGTGAAGATTGACTGTATTAGAATACAGTCAATCTTTAGACTGCTGGAAGGCAGTTAATTATTGTATGGTTGGTCTAGTGTAATAATAGTCAAGAGACTATCGAGACACTTGTTTAACCATACTTAAATAAGAGATGGTGATCGATCTCATTTCTGTACGATCTCCTGCTCATTGTCAGTAAAACGGCACTAACATTAAATGTCATTCTCAGTTCAGCAACCAAAGTAGTATAGTAAGTATAGGGCAATCACCAACCGTCTAACAGAATAGAAACATCGCAATATTCCTTTTCTCATTCCAAATTAAATGCACAAACCGCGTGAGTACGACGACGTGTTGGACCGTTCGGTCTCCAGAGACGAATCTAATTGCATTTCGCTGAGGTGAGCTCAGAGCTGGGAGCATTCCTTACTTTTTACTGGCGCATGCTGATAATGAGATAAACCTTGTCGTCTGCTCGCTTTCTGTACACTTTTTTGACTGTTCTGTGTAATGCTTTTATGTGTTACACGTGTGATAAGTAATTGTTCAAAGCTTTTAAGGGTAGGGAGTTTTAGATTTGTAAAAACTCTACTTTTACAGACTTAATATTCTAATATTTCTATTTATAACTATTAACTGTGTTTAAGTTTAAAATAATCAATTTCATTTACAACACTCCTTTCCCTACTTACACACGTACCTATCTCAATATTTCGATAAAAACTCCCTGGACAAGTGGACATACCTTCATCAAAACTAGTTTATCTGCCCATCAGACCGTTATCACAGTGGTATCACAGCAGTGGGAGTAATGCCGGCTGACATGTGTCCCGTACACGACCCGCTAATCCTGCCATAGTGTCCACACGACGTGGATAGACACGGTTTTTGTAATCCTGTATCTGTTTACTTGGGAATTAAGATAGTCCTAAAAACTAGTGAAGTTTTTGTGGAAGCCAATATACTGTATAGTTTTCATTTCTGTCTGACACTGTAGTCGAAGAGACCTAACAGTCTACGTTTATACATATATGTTTAATGTAATGATGAATAAAACATATTTTATTTTTAAACAATTATAATTTATAGCCACTAGGAAATATTAAACTAAAATACACATAAATAAACACTCAGATTCTCACAATTCAAGACAGGTCACAATTCATCATCATCATTATCAAGGTTTGCTTAACTTGACCCTGACTGGATCAGAGAGAGGACCGTCCTCTAGCTTCGTGTAGGCTTGGACCCTGACTTCGTAAGTGATATCCAACTTCACTTTCCTGTAGACTGCTGTGGTCACATCAGCTGGGACCTGGATCTCATCAGGTGCTCCATCAAGTTCAGATAGTAGGTCGATACCCTGGAAAAAACAAAAGACAATAAAATTTAGATTTTGACTGCCTCGTTGGCCGAGTGGTCGCAAGTGGGACTACCGGACAAGAGGTCACGGGTTCTATTTCCGGGTCGGGCAAAGTATTACTGGGTTTTTAAAAAAAAATCAGTAGTAGCACGGGGTCTAGAATGGTGCCCGGTATATGGCAATAGGCTCACCCCCTATTATTACATGGGACTAATTATATAAAAAGTGAGTGTTACATTGTACAGTGGCATTAAGTGCCGTAATGTGCACGTCTGCTTACTCCTTCGGGGATATAAGGCGTGATGTCTTATCGTAAATGTTTAAAAAAATAATGGTGTAATTAAACAGTTTCCTAAATGTTCTCCAATGCACTCATGCCTATAGAATTGCAGGTGTAGCCACATAAAGTTAGGTGACTTCTTCCCCGTTCGCAAGTTTTGTTTCTACCGATATATAAAAATCCTTAATACACTACAGGTAATCCCTGAAATACCCAATAATAGTTTGCTCAATCTAAGTCAAGACCCTTATCTTACCAGAAACATAGTGTTGTAAACATTTTAAAATAAATAAACATAGGTATACGTACTATGTATTATAGATTAACTGAATAATCTTAACCTAATTCGATAAGGTTTTAATACAAATGAGAATAATTTCTTAATATTGTTTGCTGCCTAATAACTATTAGAATACTAATTAATAAGTAAGCATAAAATTCCCAATTAGTAATGAGTATCATTATTTAAAAGCAGTGGTAATTCCTAAATGAATGGCCGTATGGAATGGTCGTTTAGTGTATTTTGACCTTCTTCAAAACAATGTAGCTATTACTACTGTAAGCTAACAACATGAGCCAACTGGGTCAAGAGCATGTTTTTTGGAATTTTCCATATAATAATTGCTTACTGACTGTAGAGATTTTTAGCCGACTTCAAAAAGGGAGGTTCTGTTTGACCTGAATATCTGTATGTGCACGAAAATCTCGCGATTGGCTGAATCGATTTCGATGCGGTTTCCAGAAAAGTATTTGTTGCACTTAGGAGAAGACTTTAGTATATCAATGATCGGGGCTCGAGTCGGGGATGTTCGCTGATGCATGCATAGATGATTTCTATGCAATCATCAGAAAGCGTGTCGCCTCCCTGATGCAGCGGGTGCGGGGCAGCGCCGACAGTCTTCTGATGACCGTGGCGGATAGGACTGATGGCCTTATGTTAAAACACTGGACGAAGACGCAAGTAGTGAAAGTCGTCTGTATTGTTACTATATTATCATTATATTACCTATGACAAATTATTTTAATTTTATATGATGAGGTTTGATGTACTAATACTAGTTTATAAGTTGTATATGTCTTTACTAACCATGTGGATTGTATTATCTGAATAAATAAATTGATTGAATGAATGAACTGACTTTAAAAAAAAAGGGAATTGAAGTCGGTTTTTAAAACATAAATTATAATATATTCCAAAAATCCTCAGTAATAGCTTGCAGTCTTGAATCGTGGCCGGTGCAATAGGTTCATCTCATATTATAAGATGCTAAAACCATAACTGGTGAAAAGTCAGTGTAATATTTCCATGACTACATATGTATGTGTTTAAGTCTACCCTTTGTGCGATACTATTAAAATGGTGACGTAAGTACCTGCTCTTCAGTTTTGACGATCTCCTCGACGTTTCCATGTACAACGACGAACAGTGTGTTTGTGATGTTCTGCACTTCCCATACTTTAACCTGTAATATTGAAAGCATCGTTATATTTTAGACATTTTCGAATTTTTTTTTAATCTTAAAAAAGTAACTAATTCACTCTCTCGATGCTATTAGGCGTTATAATGACACACATACTTAGATTGAACGGTGTTACATGTACAGAGCTTAAGCCTACCCTTTTGGGGCTAAAATGTGTGATGATGACGGTATACGTACTTAGAATTTTGAAACTGTAATGATTTAAAAATACTACTAACATAATTTTAAAAGTACTCATAAGTAGAATATTATAAGTTACAAATTCTTCTATGTATAAAGGAACTAAGATATAGCTATGCACCCATTACACACGATAATAACGCTCATTACTACATATTACTGTTTTAAGAAAAGACCATAATGTTATTAGACTCGGCAACTCATCTTTCACATAAAGGGCAATGACCCAAAAAAAACTAATATAGTGATAATAATTATTACTAAACTCATTACCTTATAACCAATAACAGGATCTGCCACGTCTGCACTCTCGATCTTATTCCAGGTCATTTCAATAGCCGGTGGGTCTATTATATTCACTCTTATTAGATGAGGCGCTGATAGTAGTCCAGCCTTTGAGTCCAGAGGTAGGCCCTGGCACAAACTCACTAACACTAGAAGGTATACGCTCTTCATGGTCAAAAACATTTTTAAAATTATTTTTCTAAGTCGTATACGTCACGTCTCGTTTCTAGATGTGGAATGAACTTCAAATGTGCGTTAGGTCATTATATTACCTTCTGTGCATCTAAACCTGTGTTCACACTGATGGTTATCTGACCTACAAAAAAGAAATAGCTTTTTGTTTTTCCTATCTATTACTTTATTCTATTTCTTGCCTTCTTCTCATTTCTATTTCATCTTATTGCCTTTGTTGTTATGAAAAATAAAGAATTGATAACATTCATTTTAAATAATATGAGGAAAAACCCATACAAATGTTTTTTCCCAAATTGTTACACCGGTCATTATGTACCGGCCCTATTATGAGTCACTGCCCTTTGGTCGTCCCTTATGGTCAGATAACGTTGTGTGACGAACAACGTTTGTGTTCAACTAGATAATTAGTAGATAGTAACTCAATCGTTGTATTGTGTAATGCACAGTTGATTGTTGTAGATAACTCAGCGAGTGGACACGAGACCGGTTGGTATTCACTATTGCAACATGTTGGTGACTATTGTGACTAATCCTCGATGTTTTTAGTCCAGTCGTAATTTACAGTAGTGTATTGTGTCCATGATATACATATACACACGTATCGTGTAAGAGGTTACTCGTATGCACTAGGATCAATTCTAAGCCCCATATAATTATGGAACCCACAACTAAACTAGTCTTGCGACTATTTTATTTTAACTTTTCTTTTGCCGAAAACTCTCCCAAACAGGAGGACAAATTAAGGAAACTAAAACAGCAATATACATACATAAAACACGTGATGTCAAACAAAAGCTACTTATAAATAAATCAGTCGGTCCTCCTCGCGCAAATTAAACATTATTCTTCAGCGGAATTCCTCCCAGGGACCGGGGACTTTTATTGGAATTTTTGCCAATAGCTCTACGTGCCAATACATACGTTAAACGGTTGTAACTGTTCACACCCCACGGCATTTAGCTTCTTTATGTCAATCGGGACCCACACACCCACACCCTGTACGTGCACACACGCGCACACACGCGTCGACATGCAAATCGCAAAGACGGAACAGGGAATCCAACGTGTATTCTATTTACTGTTGCTTTGTGTCATAGTATACGTGGTTTTGATACTTTGTCGAAAGCAAGCGCAAATACAATAGATTTATGAACAGTGTAATCTGCTTACAATTATTTATTCTTTAGAGAAATTCTCACAATAAATAATATATTTTTCCATTGAGATATTATTGTTGCTCCATGTGTTATCAACACGATGGATTTGTTTAATTCACCCATCACAATTTCTATCACAACAAGGTGCTAGTTCTTGCCCTACTTATGAATAATCTTGGTTAAAAGTAAACATGTTGTTTTTAATTACCGCTGACGATGTTGCGTAAACCATTAGGAAAATCTTGTTTTTTAGTGAGTCATTTACAAAAATGTCCCAGCTGTCTAATCTTTGATTTCACAATGCATTATTATTAAATCCATGTTTTTAATAACTAATATCGTCAACTTATTAGTCATTCAGTAATTGCTCAATTAGAACATAATACATTTCGAAAGTAAATTTTTGGTGAAGGTGCCTATGGTTAAAAAAATACAATGATTATCCAGTCAAACGAAATAGTACTAAGACTATATAATCGCGGTACAAATCCACTATATCCCAGTATTGTCCCTTTAACACGAAACGGAGGCGTATAACAAAATAAAATACAATACAAAAAGCGTTAAACGTGAACCTATTGATTTGCTGGAATTTTTATTAGGAACCTACCTACAGAGGGGGCAGCAGTTTTATTGTACCATCGCTTACCGGTCGCACTCGCCATTTTAATTTTGTTTATATGGAGATTTGTGAGATGTGTTATCGACTCTTGGCTGTGTAATCCTGCTTCTTCAGGGTCTCACGATTTATGAGCTTCGATACTTTCGATTACATTACAATTTTACATGATTTTTTGGTCAAAACTACTTGGATAATCTTACAAATTCTTAGATTATTTAAGCAACATTAAATCCTCTAAGTACACATTAGATCAAAGATTAACAAATGTAAGTACAGGTGAAACATGTTCACTCAATTGATGACCATAGCAATAAATTATCTGAGACTATAAACCGAGAGTCGATCGTTGAAATAATGGTTAACAACTTAATTACGATTGAACGGGAGCCAGGAAGCAAATAATGCATAATGTGAATGATTGCAAATGAGGTGTGACATGACACCGTACATCACGACGCGATATCAATGGACCGAGCAGGAACGAATATAAGTTCTGCATCACCTTGGTACCCATAGAGCTGAGGTAGTGGATGTCGATATTATCTTTTTTAATTTTAATGCGGTTAATTATAAAAAACAGTTACATTAAGTAGTTTTGTGGTCTCAATGGGATCTTTCTCCAGGATTTTCTCAACTAGCCCGCAGTTGGCAGTAGCCAACTAGTGTCAATTAGGCACTGAAGTATTAAATTCAGCTAAAGATTACTTATCTAGCCTTCACAAGTCTTTGTTATAGATAGACACATTCGTAAAACAATACAACTGCACCTCGATTAAAAACATCGACAGTTTCCCAGTCCCACCTCTAGTGCAACCCGTTGAAACCATATATTGTCGTGCGTCGGCTCCGTCTGGCGTTCCGTTTGGTTTTTGCATCTCACTCATTTGGCCACCTTTATTGGTCCGGTCAGTCCGGAACGGTTTGATCCCGTCGACACGGCGATTCATCTCGTAGCTCTCGTTTGTTTTGTGATCGTTTATTGTTTTTAAAGGTGGGGGCTTCGATTTAGATTCAACATTGATGCTCACTTTATTGCGGGTATCACAATGTTACAAAGTTTTTATGTTGTACTGAATGATTCACGTTATATTTAGTATATTTATGTTAATGTTGTAATACATTCGCATCCTAAAATAGCATCCGTATTATAAGCTTTCCTCGAGTTTCCAAATCCATCAGAAACCACAACAATATAACCAAAAGGAGATGAGCCAACAAATTAATTTGAAAATTCAAATGCCTTAGCAGGAAATGTAATTGTAAAGGCGTGTGTACACGGCACGGTAAGGCGGTGTTTACACCGAGCGGCGCAAAAGGTACGGATTTGTTAGAATGTAAATCAAACTGAATGTTTTATTAAACACGCTGCTGCTGGATATTCAAATTAAGCGGTGTCGATGGTATTATTGCATGGAGAAGGAGTCTTTGTTCGGGGCAATGTATATTAGAATTTTCTTCTTTGATATTTTACTCAATACGTGAAAAATAAATTTAACGACCGAGTAATTATAACAATATCAGGCTAGGTAGTAGAAAACCTGACAGTGTTTTGGAAGTGAGTGAAGGACATGAAAATGAAAATGAAAAAGGAAATTCTTTTACAACATCAAGCTTTAATGGACAAATTACACTTATACATATGAATGTAAAAAAAATGAATCATACTAAACATCATTTAATTCATTAAAATCAACCGCTTTTCAGCGTGATACAAAAGAATGATCTCCATACCACATTACCCTCGCAAGATTTCCACCTCAGCGTTCCCGTTGGCAATATTTACCCGTTACTTTCTGTAAACAGTGCTCGGAACATTGCGAATATAACTCGTACAAGAAAATTAAGCTTGTTTAATTATCTAACTTGCTGTACAAGTGTACGAGTATACACTTTCTCAATATATAGGTATGTAGGTGTACCTATGGCTCTTGCATAATTAGGTGAATTGGTAACTCGGAGAATAGAAGGTTTCAGTTAATATTTTTTAAAAAATTCATATGTTTTTTTAAGGGGGAAATCATCGAATGACTTCTCCCGCCTGGGTGGGCGGGAGGGAGTGTCAGACTCTTACTGACTAAAAACCACCCCGTTCCTACTCCTGCACTTCGAGCCGAAGCCCCGGTAACCCGTTAAGTTCTCCGCGGCTCCGTATCGGCATCAGTCCTATTGGGCTCCTTCCGTGGTGGTATAATGGCTCTTTGAGGCGCGCGCGAAACGCGACGCGCCGTACGCTCGGGTCTGGTTCTGGTCGGGCGGCGAGCCACCCATGCTCGCCGTTCGCGAAAATGTTAGGAAATAAAAAGTAAAATTGTAGTCGTTTTCTAAAAACGTTTTGTCAGAGTCTTCGATTGGAAAATATTAAAATACACTACCTACTACAGGAAACTGGTCGTAATAGTGGAACTGTCGTTTAATTATAATTTGTTACAAAGGGTCCGACTGTCTAATGATGATTATGTTAATTAAATAAAGTTTTGCTTTTCGCATTTTGTTTAAGTCTTTAAAAAACGCCAACTTTCCTAAACATTATTCACGGTCATTAATAAGAAGTACCAGGCGAGCAGAAGTCGACCGGAGCGAACTTCGTATATCTGCTTCCGCTAACTACTAAAAGATGGTAATGAAGCGCACTCACCTTTATATACCTGTCCTTGTCACACTTATTTAACTTGTATCTTGTCGTCCCACTCTAAGCTGCTGTCACAGCCACAACGGCCGATCCAGACGGTGACAAGAAATTAATTAGGGGAAGCTCGGGAAAATAATGGTGTGCCGTGATTTTTAAATGAAATTTATTTTCTTCACTTCATTTATTTCTGGGCGACATGACACTTCGGAAATTATTAGACTTTAGGAGGGCTTCCCTTTCCGTAGGTAAGGTTTCAACTTGTTTACCTTGTGACGTCACCAACATTTTTTTTGATATTTTTATTTGTTCGGGCGTTGATTGGTTTTAAAATATTTCGGCATGGAATTTATTTTCTGGCTTCGTTTATTTGCTTTCACTTAGGTGTTTTTTAAGATCCATGTTGAAAATGTTAATTATAAATTGGTATGTTTCACTTAATGCAGCGTTTGAATTTGGTTTAAACTAAATGTTCTCATTTGTCAAGTAGGCATAAACCTGAAATGCATTTTTGAATAAATATTCTCACGTTTGTTATTTTCCAAAGAAAAAAAAAATACAATAGATAGGTTAAGGGTAGGAACTTTTAAATTGGCCCTCCTTAAAAGCTGTATGTGTATAAAAGTGGTAAGTACATAAATATGTAGTTACCACCGTGGGATTCACGATTTGGAGTCCCTATTTGGGAGCATATTTCATTTATCAACCATCGTGTTGCAAAACAGAATTTCGAAATTCAACCCAAGATTTCTACCATCCACAGTCCCATACATGACCACTGAACCAAAGAGTCAGTCTACAATTTGAAAGTTTAATAAGTTGTAATGGTAATGATGTCAGCGTATGGCGGCAGGTTGTTGAAACGGCGATTAAAATAAAGGGTTTGTAATAAAATCACCGGCGATTATTATCGGAAACCCGCCGAGTGGCTCCGTAATATCCACGGTTATTATAATGGCACATCATGTACAGAAGGTTCAGTTTCAATTATCTGTATGAGATTACATAGTATTATTATTTTGCGCTTTTTTCTTGTTGTTTTCTGATAGTACATATTTGCACAGTATATTATTAACTTTTTAACCCAAATGTGAACAAAAAGATATGCCCTTTTTAGTTTTAAAGTGATAGCTTGAGATTTTGAATTATTTCAAGATACTGGGCGATGATGGGGAATGGATAATGAAAATCTATTTAGTACGTCATTTATGTAACAAAAAAAATATTAGACACGTATTTTTAATTTTTTCGTATATAAAGACAATGCTTAAAAGTAGGAGATAAAACGATATTTCTATGAATAAAACATACGTCTCACAATAGTTCAAATCAACATATCGTCGAAAGTATTTGTAAAAGTGTGTATGTGTGTGTATTTGTTTCAAGTATTTGTAAAAAAAAACGTGTCTAATGTTTTAAAATGATCTACCAGACGTACAAGACTGAAATTAGTCATCTACGCTAATATTGGTGTCTTTTGCATACTACCACTAAACTGTACGTCTATTGCAAGTAGTCTAGTATAATGTATATAGTTTTACAAATACATTAAACCTATCTATCATATCACCATCATTATGTCTATCTCCCACCAGTCTCCATTATTAAATACATTCTTAATCACTTTCAATTCCAATATCAACCACCTTATATTCATACCCACTTACTTAAGACTCACTGTTCTCTCCAAATTGACTTACTGTATGTCCCGCACCTGTGTCCCGAACTAATTAAACGCACGAACAGATTTATTAACAGATACGATTATAATGTTACATGGTAATAGTGGCGTGACACGACCACTTCTGATACTGAAACCACTGAAATACAACTTTCAATGTACTCCTGGAAATTATGCTGAAGGGTTCTGTCAATTAGTGGTGAATTTTGGTCATCGTTGTCTGAATAAAGTAAGTTCCCAATAAAGGAAAGATTTAAAAACGCTGATAATATCTAATATGTTTAATCTAGGAATTATCTAAAGGTAATCGTTTTATGCTGTATTTACACTCTCGAGCGAGTTGAGACGAAGCCAATATACATTGTCGTTATTCTAATAGAGTTGTAGTGTTTCTCGCGTTATAAGACTGCAATGTATCTCAACCTCGTGTCCGATCGCGCGTGAGTGTAAATGTAGCATTAGATTTTAGTGGTTAAAAGTTGCAAGGTATTGTTATACTACTCAATCAATGCTTAAATATATTAATAGAGTACAATTCCAATTTACCAATTTTGACCTTGAAATAAACTTTTTCTCACCAGGGTATAGAAAAATGTTCTTCGAACGTACCCTCCAGAGTCAAATAATACAAGATGAGCTGTCACCACCCAAACAGAGTATTTTCCGGTCCAAAAACCGTGGACTTCCTCATATAATCTTGGACAAAGGAAAACATTATCTGAAGCTGTTCCTCGAGACATCATCCATACATGGACTGAACCATTTGGTTGCCGATAAGAGACACCTTTTCGAAATGTAAGTAGAAAAATAGTATTTTTGGTATGTCCACTTAAATCTAATGTGAGGACATAGGTCGTTTTGCATACCGTGAGACTAACATTTTCGATATTGAAGACGTACATGTTTCCAATTTTATAAAACTGGTCAATCAAAATAAAAAACGTCAATGTTCTAAGTAAACTTTTTAAATTCCTCTTCAACAGCATACTCTGGTTTACCATCATCTTACTATCAGGGTTTGGCTCCCTGTACCTGTCCCAGATGACCTGGAGCCGGTACCAGTCGTCTCCCACCGTCGTCTCCATGGACCGAGACATGTTCGCTTGGAACACCACCTTTCCCTGTGTCACCGTCTGTCCTAATAATTACATTGATTCTAGGAAACTTGATATCTTCTTGCGGTTGGTATATTGTTTGATTCAATTTCTAATTTAATCTTTAAATGTAACGTCAACTTTTTTCTTTACTAATGTACCATCAACTTTTTTCTTTACTAAGTTTTTAAAATGTCATTACGGGATTAACTCATTTTTTATCTTATTTCAGAAACTCCAAAGAAGAAAACAAGACTCGACTAGAAAACTTCATCATCAGCCTTGCGAATGCTTCATACAGGAACTTTGAGAGCATTCCAGTCTACCCAGACATTAGCCCAGACAAATACATCCAGTTGCTGGTGAACTTGTCTGTACCATTCAAACCATCATTGACCATTGGAGTATCAAATGTGGCTTTATCAATAGTCCCTACTATTACTGAGATGGGTTTATGCTATGCCGTGAATTCGAGGATGGCTGTTTATAATTCTCCAGAGTAAGATCCCCTGAGGTTTCCTTCTTAAAGAAAATTGTCATTGGACT